TTAAGTTAACAAAAATCAAACACACTGCAACAAAAACAAGTTTTCAGGCGCTCCTCAAAATGGGTGAACTTCGTGAATTTTTTTACATCTAAGTTCTATGAAAAAATCACAAATAACGCCATATCATGGAAACTAAAAGCAATTTAGCAGTCACATTTGGAGGCAAGATTTGCTACCCCGAAGAGTACCCTGACAGCACCCAAAAACAGAATTGCGAAAATCAAGGTTTTCAAAAAAAAATTTTTTTTGAAAAAATCATAAAGCAACGGCATATCTCGGAAACTGATAAGATATGAGCGGTCAAACTTGGAGGCAAGATCTGCAACCTCTCAGAGAGCCCCCAGGGCGGCACCCAGCTAAAGGGTTCTGAACTTCGTATTTTTTGATTTTTCAACTAATTTTTTTTAGAAATCTTAATAAAACGTCATATCTCAAAAAGCAAAAGCAATTGAGCAGTCACATTTGGAATCAAGAATTGCAAACCCTGTGAATAAACTGACAGCACCCAATTATAGGGTTGAGATTTTCAAATTTTGTCACATTTTTTAAATCGAAGTTTTCTGAAAAGTTTCGAAAAAACCATATAAAAACGTAGAACCCTAACAGAACCCAACTAAAAGTTTGGGAGTTTCAAATTTTGTGAAACTTTCAAATCTAAGTTTTCTGGAAACTTTTGAAAAAATCAGAAAAAATCGTCGTATCTCGTAAACTAAAAATTTTGAGTATTCAAGTTTGGCGTCTGAATTTGCAACCCTTGGGTAACCCTGACAGCATCCCTATTTTGGGTTAATAGTTTCAAACTTGGTGAAGCAAACACGAATTAAAACAGGAAAATCGAAAAAAAAACTTCTTAGGCGTTGCAATATACGATAGTCTAAATGTTGAAACATTTCTTTCGTTACATGCAAAAATGATACGTTGAACAAGCTTAAGCATGGCGAGATAGTGAATCCCGCATTTTAGTGAATCCCGCATTTAGCCTAATTGTTGTGATAAACTTATTAAATAGTTTGAGATGGGTATGTGCTAGTGATCACCTGGCTGGACGTTGCACACTTCCTGACCTGCCCGAAGTGGACCACTGGTCTTCAGGTAGCGTGCCATCCACGATCTGGTCTGGACCCCGCACTGGAATTCTGGTCTCCTGGTGTGGAACCCGTAGCCCGATCTTGACTCTGGCTCTCCCCTTCTGCCTTCGTTATCTCTACGTCTGGGTGAGACCCCTCCTACGTTAGGCATGCAATTGTTTGCCTCTTTCTTCTCGACCGTGTTTCTGGTTTTAGCTTTCAACCGTGTGCAGAACGGTCACACCCCTGTTGGATCTACTCACATGCTGCTGCTGGCTCGCGAGAAACCTGATCCACAATCACGACAAGAACTGCGGTCACGCAAGTTTAAACTCAACTCAAAGCTGTCGTTTTATAACATTTCTATGCTCCTTCTTTTATGCGCTGGTGATATTGAAAGTAATCCTGGCCCGGCTGTCGACCCTACTCAGTTGTTCAGATTTGTTAACGCCGCGGAGATCTTAGTCGGGTCGTCTGTGGCCATCTCGGATCTAACCTCCGGTATCTATGATGCTTCTATCCTCAAAGTTGACAACGATCGCTTCTTTGCTCACTTTCGTGGTTGGAATAAAAGCTATGACTCCTGGGTCAACCTTGATCAAATTTTCCAGCTCCCTGATGGTTATGTTCCGATAGGCCGGAATTCTCGCGGTCCTATTTGCCTTCTCGCGCCTCCTGTCTCCAGTCCTATCTCTGTCGCTTTAACGAGTTCTCCTTCTCGGGATGCTCCTGTTAGCTCTGGCCTCTCTCAAGGGATGTCAAGTATGACGATCTCGGCTGAGCTCGCCGAAAGCGCTGTGCCGGATCTTTCTGACGTCATGTCTTCCAGAGTTGACACTGTCCGGTTCGTTCCGATTTCTCTTCGTAACGAGTGGTCTGAGGTTGTTGGTCACGCCCTTGACAACTGCGCCACCGCTCCGGTCAATCTGAAATACTGGACTCGGTTGCTCATGCTCCCCAAATGTATCTTGAAAGCCCCTCGCCGCGGAGGCAAGTCTCACGCCGCTAATAACTGCAGAGACATTCGCCAAAGAATCAAGTCCTGGAAGGAGGGCAATATTTCGGACCTCTGGTCTAACGCTACCAAAGGACCTAAAGAGCGAACGAAGAAAAACAGCAAACCTTCTCCTGACTTTAATGTCCGCAGAGCCAAAGAGCTAGCAGGCCTCGGTCAGTTCGGCAGAGCAGCTAAAGCCCTGTGTTCCGATGGCCTCGTGTCCAAAAGTGACGAGTCGCTTAAGGACCTTCGCAGTCTTCATCCTTCCGCTGACCCTCCTGTCTTTTCTGGCCGGGATGAATCCCCTCTTGCCTACCAATTCGAATCTGAGTTCGTTCATAAGTCTCTCAAAAGTTTCCCGAGCGGCACTGCTGCCGGTCCTTCGCGCTGGTTTCCTGAGCACTTTGTTCACGCCGTTGAGTGCCCCACTCCTCAGACTGCTGCCAGAACGTTAGAGTCTCTCAACAGGGTTGTTAATATCCTCGCTGCCGGGCAAGCCCCTTCTAGTCTCTCTCCGTGGCTGTGCAGTGCGAATCTCTTTGCCACCGCTAAACCCAAGGGTGGTGTCCGGCCTATTGCGGTCGGCGAAGTGCTCCGAAGGCTCACTGCTAAATGCCTTGCTAAAGCCGCCAACGCTGAAGCTCGTGATTTTCTGTGTCCTCACCAGCTTGGAGTCGCTACCAGCGGTGGCTCGGAAGCCATCGTCCACGCTACTAAAATGACAGTCAAAAAGTGCTCGGAACATGGTCACCAAGGCGTCTTAACAGTGGATTTTGAGAACGCTTTCAACACGCTAGACCGCACCGAGATCCTCCTTCAAGTTCGCAACCGTCTTCCCGGTCTCTCCGCCTTTGTTGAGTTTACCTACGGTCACCACAGTCATCTGCTGTTCGAGGATGTCATTCTCAACAGCGAGAAAGGAGTTCAACAGGGGGATCCGCTAGGGCCTCTCATTTTTGCGGTCACCCTGCACTCTCTAGTCGAATCTCTCAAGTCGGATGTCCCCGGTCTCACCCTCAACTGCTGGTACCTTGATGATGGGATTTGTGCCGGCGACGAAGACTCCTTGCTCAAGGCTCTCGAACTCATCACTTCCAACGGCTTGCATCTCGGCCTCAAAGTCAAGCACAGTAAGTGTGAGTTGTGGGCCCCTGTGGAGTTCTCCTCCATCCCCGTCTCTATCCCGAGAGCAGCGTCTAATGGCTTCGAGCTTCTTGGCGCCCCCATTGGTGATACTGAGTTCTCAGTTAAAGTCCTGGACAAACGCATCTCTAAGGCCACCAAATGTCTTGAAAAGTTACCTCTTCTTGATGACCCCCAGCTCTCACTTGGCATCACTCGCACTTGCCTTGCTGCTCCCAAGCTGACGTACTCTCTTCGCACTCAGCCGCCCTCGCAGCCTGTCGCAGCTTCCCTGCAAGTTTTTGATGAACTCCTCCGCGATGCTCTTTCTGTCATAGTTGGCTCACCTGTTCCTGATCGTGCCTGGTCCCAGTCTTCCCTGCCTATCAAAGATGGCGGACTTGGCGTCCGGCAAGCTCGCGACCAACACATCCCTGCCTTCCTAGGGTCTTCGTGTCAGTCAGCTCATTTGGTCTCGTTTCTTACCGAATGCGACATCACTGATACGCCGGAGTTCCTGCGTGCCTCGAACGACTTCCGTGAACAGTCTGGAAGCGTTAACACTCCCGGTTTTACTCAAGAAGCTTTCCAAGAGAAACTCGATAAGGCCACCTACAACGCGTTCTTCTCGTCTCTTCCCGATTCCCGCGAGCAAGCTCGTCTTCAGTCGCTCTCTCTGCCTTACGCCGGCGCTTGGCTTACCGCAGTCCCCATTAAAGGTCTTGGCCTGCACCTGCTACCTGCTGAGTTCCAAGCTGCTGTCAGATACCGCCTTGGTCTTCCTGTGTTCGCGTCTGCTCGTAGGTGCCCCGCGTGTCCGTCTGGCATTCTGGACGTCCTCGGGGACCACGCTGTCGCTTGTGGGGGGAGTGGTGGCCGGATCTCCCGTCACGACAGACTACGGGACATTATTTTCAATGCTACCTCGGCTGCCTCTTTAGCCCCCATCAAGGAGCAACGGAACCTCATCCCTGGAGAACGGTCCAAACCCGGCGATATTTTTATCCCTACTTGGAGCGCTGGTCGCCCAGCTGCTTTCGACGTCACCGTGACATCCCCGCTGCAGTTATCTCTTCTCTCTCGTGCGGCGGAGACCCCCGGGGCGTCCCTGGAAGTTGCTGAGGACCGCAAATTTTCGAAACACGAGAAAAACTGTGAGGAACAAGGAATCAGTTTTTTCCCGTTAGCAGTCGAAACGCTCGGGGGTTGGTCCGCTTTAGCTATCAAAACCTTCAAGTCAGTTGCTATCCTCGCTGATGCCAGACGTTCTGGTTCACGTGACGCTCGTGTTGCCCCAGTTCGCCTTCTCCAGAGCCTCTCAGTGTGCCTCATGAGAGGAAACGCCACTATGATTGTCAGCCGGGCCATCTAGTCTTGTGCAGTTTATTACGTTTTTTGCATTCCCAATTCTGGTGCTCCTTTGTTCCTTTGCTGTTAGCGCATTCCCCCTCTCTTTTCAATCCTCAATGATTCATCCCACATTTGTTGTTTGTTTTGTATATGTCTGCCATAGGTTTTATCTTTATTATTGCTTATTTCTTTCATTAACAATTTTGCAATTGATTTGGTTTTTATGAATTTTTTTTAATATATAATAGATCGATTGATAATAGATAAATAACCAAGATTATATGACATGTCAATAAAAACTGAGATTCCGCCTTTATCAAGTCTCACTTTGTGGCTCTATTCGAGACTGATTTAAGGTAGAGAAGTCTTTCGTAGCTAAATATGCTTGCAAATATTTCCTTTTTTTTACACCTCGTGTACACTCTTTTCGCTAATTGGAAGTATGTCATTTCTTTTGTACTGACCTCTGATAAAAGTAGTCCGGTGATCCACACCAAGCACATGCGTGAGCAGCATTGACACAATCATCACAGGTAGACGCACTTGTGCAAAGGTTGAAAGACTCTTGTGCTTCAACCTGAGATGATTGAGTAGAAAGTATTGCTATTCCACATACAAACTCAATTAAACACATTTTTCTCTGAAGTTACCAATCAATAAGGTCATAATGGAAAATGTACAACGACGCGCAACGAGAATAGTCCCAGGCATACGCAAAGTTAGCTATTGAAACAGACTAAAGATTGTGAACCTCCCAGCTCTCGAATAAAGAAGAAAGCGAGTGAGAATGATTGAAGCTTACAAAATCTTAAACGGAATTTAAGATGTAGCAGCAACTGAAGGAATTTTCTCAATTAATGAAAGGGACACGCGAGTAAATCTGTACAAAACAATCGCCAGAAAGACCAGCACCACCTCAAGAAACAACTTTTTCGCCATAGCACCTTTCACCAGAAGCGATTATATCAAGCAACAGAAGCGATTATATCAAGCAACGATTATATTAAAGCAACACTGGATAAATTAAAACCAACTGACAACTGTCTATTGAATGACGTAATGGACGTCCAAGAAAGAACTGACCGCCAGAAGCCAAAATTAAGCCTACAGATCAGAAAGAACCTGGGAAAAATAACATTATAATTAGCTGATATGCTCGTTCTTTTTCCTTGGAGAAATAAAAAAAAAGTAAATTATACAAGGGGCCCTTCCGTTTAGGGACGGTCGTGCAACGACTGGAACTCGTTACCCGAAACAGTAATATCAAGCGAGAGTCTACACGTTTTCAAACCAAGACTAAACAAACTATGGGCGTCTGAAATATACGACGCATTGTTTATCGAATGACGAAATGGACGTCCAAGAAAGAGCTGGTCGACAGAGGCCTGTGAGGCCTACAGATCAGAAGATAACATGTAACCTGTGCATAAGCTGGATAGGGCCCAGACTAGTATTATATAAATACATCAAAAAACAATATTGCAGGACTTCAGTCAAGACAGACTTTAATGCATTGTCATTAAAGGTTTTTACTTCAATCGTCCCGCCTCTATAATATCACTAATTGAATTGTCTATGAAATGAGTCTTACGCAGTGATCTGCACCCCTGTATAAAAAGGATAGCGCTTCTGAGCAGCGCGAAGTTTAACTTTGTTCTTATATAGTTTATTGTTTCTGAGTAGATTTCATGCCTTTCATGAGTAGCTTTTATGCTTCTGAGTAGCCAACACCCTTCCCTTTTCTCGGGTTCTACGTTGTAACGATTGTAGCGGCACAATCGTTATAACTCGGGATGGTTCCTGACATATTCCAATCACAGTTTCAATCTGTTGTCGTTTTCTCGTAGTTGTTTCACTGCAACTATTGTTGTTCTATTTCGCCGTCCCAGTGTGTGCAAAATATAAAAAGGTTACGTGTCGTTCACGTCCGAATCGAAATTTCAAAATTTAGCATATCAAACAAAACCAACCCTTCCCGATTCGTCTAATTGTTCAAATAACGCTGCTAATCCAATAAACCACCAATCTTCCAGGTTAGATGTCCTTTTTCAGATCGATAAAATTTCGATTGCGAAACTGCATTTTCGTACATTTTGGTCGAATGTCACAGATTTGTAGAATTCTCTGTTGGTATTTTCAGTTTTTTAGTGATTCGCCGTTCTTATAGGCGTATTTCAGTAGTCTTCGCGAAGTTTTTGCGTGCGGGTTGAAAACTTTGACATCAAAGAAGGTTCATTTAAACCTTGAGCCCTATAATCCGTTTGCTTTTACATCTAGTCGAGCGTCTTCATCAGTTGTGGTTGAATTGTTGACAAAGCTCTCGCCCTGGAACTACTGAAGTTTCGGCTCAATTTCAACATCAAAGCAAACCTCTCTCATGAGGTTGGCAGAAGTATATCTGATTTCGTCATGCCTTATGTGGGTGTATCCACCTTTTGCACAGTGAAGGGCAGAGGTAAGGTCAAAAGATTGACCACATGCATATGTGAGGGGAACATCGGCTGGTTCCCATCCGTCTCTGAGTGAAATTCCATCCCGGAAGTCCGATTTATTCAGTTTGAAATTATATCTGCTAAATGACAGTGCTTTTAACCAATTTGAGGCTGGTTTTTCAGAGGCCAACTCAAGTGCGTATTTTTCACTGTCGCTCAAGATGTTCAAATGTTAGTTCTTTTTTGGTTTGTTCTTTCAGTTTCAAGTGTTTTAATTTTGTATATAATTTTTCTTGCTCGGATATAGCTGTTAATGTGTACGTGTCTAAGAATAGCGATGTTTCAATTGATCATTCTAAAAACTCTCATAGTCAAAAGGTAGCTTGATTTTTTGACCACCCGTTTTCAGTGGCAAAGAAGCGATGTCTCTAAATTGATGTCTAATATTATCTCTACCAATTAAATATGGAATGAGATTTTGCTGCAGTATCTTTTCGCAGACCTGCATGTTTTCTGTGGTATTGAGGGTATGTCTAGCTAAAAAAGTTAATTTTTCTTGTATACCTTTGGTGTAGCAGGAGTACACGTTTTGTGGTGATGTTTTCGCGATCTTGCAAAGTTTTATCACTATTTTGTTACGTTTTTCTAACTGAATTTTTGAGAAAGTTCTACATTCAGTCTCGAATCCTATGACAAAACCAAGTACTCTGGCCCCTTTCCTAATTTCAATCTCGGTGTTTTGAATACTTTCAACGCCTCATTGTTTTTTTTTTCACATTTTACAATGAGCAGGAATTTCGATGCTTTTACATGATATCCAAAATATTTTCCGTGATTGATAATATTGCCAAGAACTGTTCGCAGGCTTTTCAAATTTCCGACTGCGTTCCCTTCGTCTGCATACTAATCCCGAGTTAAGCTATTATCATTGACTAGTTTGATTAAAGGTGAAGTGGCTAGCCCGTATATCGCCTCTGCTAATGGGTCTCCTTGTGGGGTTCACTCACTAAATAGGATAACTTTTTTTAATTACGAAGAGTTTGGATGGATTAGAGCATGAGTTCTGTTTAGCGGGTAGTATAGAAGGGCATATACTTGCAAGTTTTCAAAGCCAGCTTCCGGTTAAGGGAGTTAAATGAATTTTCCGCGTCTATCAGTAATATTGCATCGTAATCTAATTTCTCGTATTGCTTCCTAAGCGTATGAATTGCATATTCGATGCCACATTTTTGGCCGAGTACCATAAGATCGTTCCACCTATTATTCGGCGGATGACTTCGCCAATGCCAATAGGCCTAACGCCTGGGTTTTTATCAAATGGAATTAGTTGACAGGCATTATATGGTTCGAGCAGCTCAGGACTTATTATTTCTGTCGATAACTTTTGTTCGATTTTGGCTAGCTTTGATATTTAAACTGACTAATGATCAAAGCGCGTTAGTATGCGTATCCACTCATTTGCACCCAGGCCTGAGGTTTCATGATAACAGTGTGTTGTCATTGCAGCCTTCCAAATTTTCTGGGAAATTATTTGGTCGAATATGGATGAGTGGAAAGGGATGTATCTACGGAGCATGATGTTATATAGTTGTTCTTTTTTGGCTCCCCGGGAGGGTGTTTCTTAATGAGGATTTGCTCAAGAGTTTGACCTTTGACAATTTCCCCGAGTGAGAGAACTCCCTTGGAGGTATCAGTTAGTTTATCAATAGCACTCGATGTTTTTCCGGTGCTCAATTGTTTATTAAAATGCTGTGCTTGAGATCAACATCGAGTTCGCCATTGTTCTTACTCAAGGGGTACCTTTGCTGCGATGTTGATTTCATACTGTAAAACATCTGAGGGCTGTGACTACGGAAACAAACAAATTGATTCGCCATTCCAGATTTGGATGGTCATCGAGTTTCATCTGCATTTGCTGCTCGTTCCTTTTGCTCTAAGAAACCTTTTTCGTTTGCTTATTTTTATCTATATTTTGTTAGTGAGACCTTGTTAGTTATGATAATAATTAGTTGTTTTCGCAAAAGCATTTTATTAGTTTTGGTTATTTTAAAGAGTCACTCACTCTCGAGCTACTCTCGTCAAAATTAAGGAGAGTGTCGCCAGCGTGTTTTTAGCGCGGTGGTTGAGGCCGGCTATAGAGCATGCCAGGACGTCTTTGACTGGTGGGTTAGGTCAACTATGGGAATATAATTTTACCGTATCTTAGAGAAGATTCTTTTTTCAAGTTCAATTTTCTGTTATTTTTTTCTAAGTGTTTTCTCTTTTGTTCTTTGGTTGTGTCCTTTTTTCAAAACCAGATTGTTGTGATTTGTGTGGTTTTTTTGGAACTCTTGTGTTTAGAGTGCTTTAAATGAAACTTTAAAGCAAGTTTCAAAAAATTAATTTATCCAGTTTTAATCTGTTTAAATCTGATTAGGGTTTCATGAGACCTTATCATACTTGCGGCATTAGTAAGCTGCGTTGCTAAGTTTGAAACGCTTGAAAGCAAGTTAAAATTGTCATCAAATAGTTTGTAAAACTAGAAATTCATTTAATAAACCTTTCTACGGTAGCGATTTTTTTTATTTTGATTGAAATAGTGCGTCAAACGTGGGCGAGTATTTTGAGAAAATCATGTTTATAAATAGAAGCACACATAAAAAAAACTAGTAACGTCAATTCATCTTTCGTTAATAGTATACTAATTCGTACTAAGTCACCGATATATATTATGACACATAATCAGATTATAAATTTGAAAGTTGAAATAGAGTTTGATTTTAATTTTTAATTTTAAGGTTTTCTTTTAGATGAATGACTTGTGAAATCTAAAAGGTAAAAGACATTTGTAAAAATGATTAGTGCTTTGTTTTTCTGTTTTAGTGATGAAATAATTTGATACTCACGATGGGTCTGGGTCAGAAAAAAATATATATGGGAAAAATAGTTTTGATAGTGTCGGAGGTTAGTAAAAGCTCCGCCAGCATGCGTATTACCTATCCATTGCAAAGGATTGGCCAAAGAAGTTCAAGCGCTCGGAATCATTTGGCTTCTTCGGTGACAGCTGAAAGTTCGTGGCTAGAAATTTCTATGAGGTAGTATAGTTTATGGTTAAATTTGAAATTATGAATATTTTGTAAGAAAGTAACTTCGACGGGTTGTATGAACTCATGCGGGATAAGGATGGGGTGAGAGTCTTCAAGCGGAAAGTTATAGTCAGTGGGC